TTAATCATTTATATCTCATCTTCTTCTCCAATATTTGAACTCAGGCCTACGGAATATTAAAACCAGAATAGATTTAAAACATATAAAAACAGTCACTATATGTGTGTGTGTGATTTAAAAACCCCGCACAGTTTATAGAATTGTAAGCAATTAATAATTAATTAAAAGACAGGATATGAAAAACAGCAAAACACACTGTTTGAAGCCCACTGCAGTCAATTCCTAAACATTTGTTGGAATAGGAAAAGTTTCACTTGGCACTGGCTGGAGAGCCAGGAGGAAGCTGTCTTTATTTCTCTAGGGAGAGACTTCTGGTTTCTGGGAGCAGATCCTGAAAAGGCCCTCTTCCTTGCACCCATCAAATAAACTTGGGAGGTGGTGAAGAGCCACTCTAAAAGATATTTTTGCTCAGGCAGGTTCATATAATCATTGTTCAAATCAGATGATATTATTAGCTGCTGCTCCATAGGATTTGTTTGGAGAGGGGTTGAAATGGAGACTGAAAAAGGATTGGTCTTAACCATCCTTTTAGCAAGATTTTCATACTAGTTTTACTAACAAATTGATTTTCTCTTGTTTTCAGTAGACTGTACTCTGGATGAGAAACAAAATCAGTTGTCTTGGACTTTGAAGCAGGACAGAATACCAATGAAGGAAAGCAACCGAGGATGCTAAAAAAAGGCCTGGTTTCTTCCAGGTGTGATGCAGCAGCAGAGCAAAGAGGCCAAGTTTCCCCTGGCTCCCCTCCAGGCATTTACAAGCCAAAGACTTTGAAAAAGAAAAAGAAAAACTTAAGGGAAAGGATGGCTGTGTGTGCAGGATGCCTCTTTGCAAAATATTTTTTTCTATTTATAAAATGCAATGAATGTGCAGCTCCTGTTGATGCAAAACCACTTTAAATTATTTGTAATAACTATATTTGTATTTATTTTGATAAATATCCTTAAGCACATTTGTCTTAAAATGCTTTTAGCATTTAAATGTGTCCATTCCAGATTAAATGCTTTTTTATTACTATATTTCTGAGAAAGCTATTTTTTATCAGTAGAAATGGAAATTATATTTTCTCCCTCTGCCTTAATGTGGGATTGCAGAATTGCTACTGCGTATCATTAGGCTGGATGTGGCTTCAACAAGGACACAGAAATACATGTGTAGTCTGTAAAAGTTACCTCTTTGGATCACAATTTCTAGAGGTTCTCTAAAAAGTAACTTCTCCGATCTGTGGTGTGGGCCTAATGTCCGTCTTGAAAGCAGCAGCTTTACTAGGCCAGATTAGGAGTCAATTCACAGAATTCTTTCTTACATGGGCCTAGGACCATAACACCAAACTGGATTAAAACAGTGCTACTCCAAGTGCTGGACTCTGAGTCATTGGCTGCTGGTCATGGTGAGTGTCTAAGTAATAGGAAACAGTTGTAGCTAATGAACTCAAATATGATTCTTAATGCCAGTGTTCCACATCAGGTAGCATAGAAGGTACAGATTAAAAAAACTATTCAGTTCACAATCTACTGTAAGAGATCACAATTTCTCTCACATTTCCTCTCCCCCTGCCAACACAGGCCAACTTTCCTGGTCCATACTATAGCACAAGGATAGAAATCATGCAGTCATACAGATGTTTTTGGATTGCAAGTCCAGCAGCCCTAGCTAGTGGGAAGGAATGCTGGGAGCTGCAATCCAACATCAACTGGAAGGCTGCATGATTGCTACCCCCTGTTCGGAGTATGTCAGAGTAAAATACTCCAGTATATTCCATTGTGGTGTCTGCAGATAAAGACTGCTTTATTATCTGGATCAGAAAGCCAGACAGTATCAAAAAGAAGATGTCATTTCACTGTCCTAGCACCACTAATCAATTTATATACTGAGAGTGTTTACA